GAGGACACCCTACTGTGATAGACGACCCTAGCAACGACGCTCACGCCAGATTGGCTGGCTCGTGGAGATAGACGCTGCCGCCGTCCACATAGGCAGCGGTTAAAACGAGCCGATGACTGTCACCTTCATGCTAGCTGGGGCGGTGGCCTCACACGTCTTCAAACGGCAGGAAAACATAGAGGAAAGCAATGGGGCACCCTATCTGCCCCCCGTTTGCAGCCTCCCGGTTCTGCAACTGCTGCAGCTGATGCTGGACGGCGAGGAGGAAGAGCGTGTTGATGCTAACTTGGGTAGAGTGCTTGGACCTTTTCCACGTTTAAGGCCAAAGCGAAAATTCTTTGGCTCTCGGTGACAGCCTTGGCATTTTGCTCAGGCTGTTATCATACAATGCGGCAAGTGCCTTAGAGTGGCAGTACTCCTTTATTTCTTCGAGGGACCTTAACTTCATATGATAAATACTTTCTCGAATTATGCCAGATTCCGTTAGGTATATAAAGGGGGTAGTTGGTGTATTTCAGTGATATACAGGTTTTAAGGAACAAGAGCAGATGAAGACAAACAAATCGTTAACTTTGTGTGCTCTCTACATCCTTGTTCTTTAGCGCTTTTATGCATTCTGAAAACTGAATTAAAATGAAAATGAATTCCTGGCATTGTCCAGTCTACGCGATCTGACTTATGCGTTACCACCTGGTAGACAATAATACATTTGCCTTTCTTCCTCCTACGTCACCAGCAGACCCGTCCAGCTCCACTTTGTTTGCGTCCGAGTCTCGTTGCGTTTCAACATAAGCACAATGCTTGAACAGGTTAAAAACGTTAAAAACATTACAGGTCAATAGCGCTCAGCAACGTGGATTACACAAGTGATTATGAACATTTTAGCAAGGAGATTACGGGATGCCATTTGTGAAATAGTCTGAGATCACCAAACTTCTCCAATTAGAGCCGGATCCATTTTGACCAACATTGACATCGTAAGAAGCATATTAGAATTCTGTGACGGGGATTTGGATGAAGTGGCTTTGCTCCAGATCGACCTGTAGAAAGCTTTTGATCGTGTGCAACACTGTGTTTTGTAAAAAAAAAAAGGAACATGTAAATGTTCCTTTTTTTAAATTGATTTTACGTTTCGTTAAAGTGGCTTATAACGGTTCTAGAACTCAGCTAAAATTCAAGGGGAAACAAACCACGTACTTTAATGTTATGTAGTCAGTGAAACAGGGTTGTCCATTATCGCCCTTATTGTTTAGTATGCATTTAGAAGATTTTTGTAGAAATGTATTTACATTTTGGCTTATTATATGTTTTACGCTGCAGTGTACAGAGATCAAGCTGCTGTCGTAGGGACACGATATTACTTTATTTCGCAAGGACAAGAAAAGTACAGTGGAAGCCGTGGGAGAAGTAAAAACATTTTGTGAACTAACAGGTGCTGTGGTCAATTGGGATAAGTGTTGCGGTCTTTGGCAAGGAACTTGGGCCATGATACTTGATATTTTCAAAGGTATTACTTTTACGTCAAATACATCTATGTACTTAGGAGTTCCGCTGCAGCACTATGAAAAATGAAATGATTGCTGTGCATGTGTTGTTTGGGATACACGCGTGAAGACTATATAGTGGTGTGGCTGGGAATCGTCAACAATTTCACAAACTACTCTTTGCAAAGTTTTTTTTCTTTTTTTAATTGCGAAATTTCGGTATAGTTTTGGCGTGTGCCACAGTCTATGTACAAAAGCTGCATCGTGTCTTTGCTATTTTTATCTGGGGTTCGGGGATGAGAAAGAGCTCGCCGCTACGTTATGTTTCATCGTGTCAGCAAAGGTCAGTTGTCATCATCGCATGTCTTTGTCAAAAAAGTTGTCTCACATTTTACGTTCCTTCGGAATCATTCCAGTCCTTTTCTTTGTGCCATAAATCAGACCAGGTTGTCCGAAGATATCTCATCGTTTGTTGTTTCTTCGAGCTGTCGTGAGGAAGGCAAGATCTCTAGTTGTCTTTGTGGAGTGATTGACAGGTTTCGTTTCCTCTCTGCGCATTTTTCTCTAGAGTATCTGTCAAGCGTCAAAGGTGTGGTGAAAAAAACAGACAGGAAACGGACGTTCCAAACAACGTTCTATTTCTGTGGTGTCTCGTAAGGGACTGAATATCGCGAGCGCGTGAACGTACAGGCACGCGCGTATTTTTCTAATTGTTTTTATTCTTTGCACTGCACGCGCTTAGCGGCGCGTGCACTCCCCACAAACGTAATAGTTTAACAAAAGACATCATTGAAACCGTTTTTCTTGTACCCATTTACTTTTCAGTGTTTCTTCCAGGCCCAGGGCATGATGTGTTATCACGTATAAAAAAAATGTCAATTCCACCTTCTATAAAGACTTTTTTTCTTCAGACTACACACGGGTATACTTCCCGTGAAAACTTGGCTCCATGAGAAAAAAAAAAATTCTTACCATGGGGTGTCCAATCTTTTCTTTGCAAAGCACCGGAGACAATAGGACACGTATGTTTAGATTAGAGTGCCTTCATACACACGCGCGCTTTTGCTTGAGTGGTGACATCTCAGCCATTTTTCCGCCCAATCGTTTTTTTTATGCCTTTTGAAGTGCGCGCAATCCGGTGTCACTCAGCTCGAGCGCGTAGCTTTGGCTAATGCTTAGACGCCATTTTAGCGCCCAAGTCAAGCACGGAGTGCGCGAGAGCGTCACGCGCTGGCACATTCAGTGCCACAATGGATGTCTTCACCCTGAGACAGACAGACATGTAGGCACCCTACATTTAGATTACTGGGAGGCGTTCCTGTTCGCAATGTCCTCATAGGAACTATTTAAAAATACTTACTGATTACACCTCACGGAATTCTGTTCCTTCCTGTGAAGAAACACGCAGAACTACTGTTGATTTTGTCATTATCATAAACCTGCAGGCAATATGGCGACGCAGAATGACTGTGCGTATTGCCGAAGTTGACGCGTGCCCTGTAAGAATGTATTTTATAAAAACTGTGTGGTCGTGTACACTCTTAGAAATAGGTGGTGTATGGGTACACTCCATGTTCCATATGTAACACCCCAAAACTCCATATGTCCGTTCAGTCCACTGACGTCGAGCTGGTGATACCAACTTGATAGCTATTGGATATAGCGTACTAAATAGCTAATGTGCATATCAAAGACTAGAAAAAAAGAAAAAAAACACTGAGATTTTGCAGCAGGGCCAAAAAACCTTGATTATCTCACTGTAGCCTTTAATGCGTAGATTATCTATTTTAATGAGCTGTATTGGTCGACTATCAAGTCGCTCTTGAAAGTTGGTATCGTCGGTTCAACATCTGGGGACTGTACGCCGAATTATGGTATTGGGGTGCTACATATAAGACAACGGGTGTACCCCCCTACACCCCCTATTTCTTAGAGTATAAAAGCTGTGTTTGCCACATTGGTTTGCCCGCCGCTGTGGGTATCCACATTGGAAGTTCTGGAGCACCTGAAGAATTTTAAAGTTTCTGTGAGCATAGTTCATTGCGCAGATAATTTTACCTTTAGAACTCTTGTAGAATTTTGTCGAAGCAGACAATAAATAAAAATGAAAGACGTTTACAATCCCCTGTAACGCCGAATTAGAGCGCAGCACTTGAAAAGGAGGAGGGGATATGGAGAGGAGGGTATGAGCCTACACCTCATCCGTACCCTCCCCTCTTCCTCTCCTGCTGGCCTCACATTTAGGGGAAGATTTTCCCGCTAAATCTAGCGGGGAAACGTTTCCGCTATATTTGATGGAGAGTATTTCCCGCTAAATTTAGCGGGGAAAATTTTAAGCCAAATTTAGCGGAGAGTTTTTTCCGCTAAATTTAGCGGGAAATTCGTTCTGATAATTTTAGTGGAAAATATTTTCCGCTAAATTTAGCGAGGGAACGCTTCCGCTAATCTTAGTGGGGAATTTCCCGCTACATTTAGCGGGGAAATTTTCGGCTAAATTTAACGGGGAACTTTTCCTGCTAAATCTAGCGAGGAAATTTTTCAGCTAAATTTAGCGGGGAAAATTTTCCGCTTAATTCAGCGGGGAATTTTTTTCGCTAAATTTAGAGGGAGACGTTTCCGCTAAATTTAGAGGGAAAATGCGGGGGAAGATTTAGCGAGAAATTTTTTTGCTAAATTTAGCGGGGAATTTTACCCATAATGCAACGCGCGGTGACATCACCAATGACGTCACTGGTGACCCTCATGACGTCACACGTGACGTGAACATGGGAAACATCCTATAGTGCATAGCGCAGTTACGCCGACGGCGACGGCGACGCCGCTAAACCGGAAACGGGCGCCTAAGAGCTGCGCATTAAAAAGAGAAAGAAGTGTCTGCGTCGCCCAGTCGGTACCGTGTCTGGCTCGCAAACGAAGAATCGTGGCCTGGAATGGCGTCTCAGCCTAAATTTATTTAAATTGTGTCGTTTAATTGCATTATAAAGTGAAATCATTTGAGACATGGGGCGACCTTTAATTCGCCTTACCATGTCAAGCTTCAATGACTTTTATTCCACGCGTGACGTCACGTTTCACGTGAGTGTTGTGGGTTGTTTGAAATTCCAGTGTGAGGAAATGTGATTCTGACGTCGTGACCCTATCAATTAACCAATAAGGATTTTCCCGTCCCACCGACACCGACGCCGGCTTTTCTGCGGCACGAACTTCTAAACGCTATTGCGTTAAAAAAACGCAGGGCGAGGCTCATTGTGCTTACTAAATTTACTTAATGATTTGCTATTCTGCATTCTTATCAACTACAACTGTCTAATTAGCCGCGGAGCAATAAGAAGGTGTTCCGGACTGCCATGCCCCAAGTTTCTTAAGATGTCGGTGGCCGTAACATGATCACCGATAATTTTATTGCAAGCAGCGATTCTCCCAATACATTCGGGGCTGATAAAGAGGCTGGCTATGACACCGACAGCTGGCGTATAGCCACATTCTGCTGATCGACATGAAGTCTTGGAAAATAGGTCAGACGAGGGGCGCCAGGGAAGCATTCCGGTCTTTGGAACAGGGAAGCCGGAACACGTTGCTGTAGGACCGGAACCACTTGTTTGCGACTGCGAGAGAAAGAGACATGACCTTTATACAAACGGTGAACACGACCCAAAGCAATTCTCACACAAAAAGCATAGAAGCGCCGAAAAGACCGAGGACGAAGTAAGTCAACACAAGGCTCACTCACAGCTGTTGTTTGAGGCGGCAGCTGCGAGTTCGCTTTGAGTTGTCTTACTTCATTGAAGTCCACACACATAAGGCCAATGATATGTCCGATTTTTCTGTAAGGAAAATGCCATCTGCGGATCGTTCCAAGCCGAGATCTCCAGCCGTCCGAATTGTGAAGCTATCTGCAGTATGGTTTTCCGGCCGGACTGCATACCTCTCTTCTGTTTAGTTAAAATGCTGCTACTTTTTACAAGGACTACAAAACACGAAGGTGTGGAGTAATGCGTGGACTTTGAGATTGCACATGCGCTAGGCGGTTAACGCACCTGCACTCTCAGAGCCCACAATGAGGTCATTAAATCGCGTGTCTTACAGTCACTCAATAAGCCACACTTCAGAGTAACAGCACTTCACCCATTTTGAGGATTAAAATCATTGTTGCAGTCATCCAAATCGTTCTCGCAAACACACAAGAATTCTATGTCATGCTGTAGAAAATCCACAGCAGTCCGCGATGGAGAAAATTTATAACAAATTATTAGGCAATTGTGTTGCATACGTGAAACGTTCGAACGTCACAAACGCTTAACATAGTCTCTGTTTTCAAAGGCAAGACGGCTACGTTCTTAGCGTTCTTCATCAGACAGTTTAACACGTACCGTGTGTGCACTTTATAGTTATTCATACAATGAAGTGTACTGCCGCTAATCGGGCTGGTAAACCTGGCGATCTTCCAGAGCCTTTCATACTCGCGAGCTCCTCTCCCACAGGCGGTTGACCTCCTCCTCGCCTATACCTCTCCTTTTCGCTTACCCCTCTGGTCACATGACCTCCCCGTTTACCAATCAACGTCGAGCACCTCAGTTCCTCTTCTCTCACCTATCAGCCAATCGGTGCTAAGCCTTGCGACCACGCTTCTATCTAGGCTTCACGAAATGCCGAACACCTACCCAAAGAATGTTTCAGGCCAATAACTGTATCCCTTGAGATACCCTAACCCTTTCTAAAGCTTAGAAAGTAGCACTTCCGAATCGTGACAATTCAAACTCCGCACTATGCACAAAGATGGCGATTCGCGCAAAAAAATCGGGGATTCAAGTTAACCATTTTGTTCTTAGCCCGAGACTGAGGCAGGAAAAAAGGAAAGTTTCGAAGTAGAAGAAAAATGAACAGTCGAAGACACGTCTCTAATAGAGACGTGTCTTCGACTGTTCATTTTTCTTCTACTTCGAAACTTTCCTTTTTTCCCGCCTCAGTCTCGGGCTAAGAACAAAGCGGTTGACATCCACCAGCTCGCCTGCGCAATCACTACATTATCAGGGATTCAAGTGCCGATTTTCTCTAACTGACGCATATTCAGTGGCTCTAATGGCGTGCTGGGTGGGCTTCATGAATGACGCAAAAAAAGTTTTCCCAAGTTTTCTTCAAGGGTCTCTGTCTTCAACGGCGACGTTGTTTTTTTTACTTATACGAACTCACTCCACTTGGATCCGTAAAGGACGGGGCAGCCGGCGTGCGTTGTGAGCCTCTCACCATCCCCGCTCGCCTTTAGGTTCCACCAGAACGCGGCGTCCCCCTGCGAAAATAACCTTCGTGTTAAGACCAATCTATTGAAAAAAAGTACGAGTGTTTTTCGTTCCAAACCAACAAAGGGCATCTAGCCCGCCCCCATTAGAGGATTTGGGAATTCATTTGAACCACATAGCGATCTCGTCATTCGCAACCAAAATCTTGGTGACGCGGCGCCTTGTCCGCACTAAGCTTGCGTCTGATTCCTGGCACTTCAACCTGGATACGAACTCACCTCCTGAAGATCTGTACGCACAGGAATTGCCTCGGACACATCAAGACGGCGTTATTACACTTTCATTATGGGGGTTTCGACGTCGCCGGGTCAAATTCAGAACGTCTTAAAAATTAAAAGCGAATTTATTTTTGGTTGTCATTGGCCTTTTGAATTAACTATGTGCAAACAAGGCCTGTGACAGAGCTAAGCATGTGCGCTTCTACCTTTGATAGCACTGCACACAATTTATAAGATAAAATACAGTGTGAACATTGTCTTTTCCTGATAAAGAAGCATTTTATCTTAGAAACTATAACAAACAAAAGCACGGAAGTTGTGGCGTTACTCAATTCTACTCATCGAATGATTTTTTCGGCTTAAATTATAGGTGGCACTGGGACCAGCGGTTTCAACATGTTTAAACATGGAGAGAACAGTGCGTTTTGTTTTTAGGAAAGGAAATAGCCCGCTACAGATCAACGAAAGTTCATAAATAAGCATGGGCGAGATCTGACAGATGCTAAAATAATGAAACAGTGGAATTCAACGTTCTGGGACTGTCGTTGATAGACGCCTAACAAGAGCTAGAAACTGAGTTTCGCTTGGACGGTCACCGGGGAGCAAACGACGTCCATGTTGAGGTGTTCGAAAAAGTAAAAAAAAAAAGGAGACCCTTTTGACTTTTTATGATTTTCTTGAAACAAAACAAGTTTCTGTACGTAGGATATTTATGTATTAAATTCTTGAAATTGGAAAGACTTTATTTTCACCGGTATAATGGCGATAAAAGAGATGTCGTTAAGGCATGGTGCCACGCGGTGCATTTTTTTTAAGCTGTCACACACTTTAGAGCTTCTAGATTTTCGATGATAAAACACGAGGAAACAAAGAAAATTAATTAACCTTTTTGGGTGTCAGCCTTATTCCGAGGTTTGGAAAGACTGTCGCGCCACCTTCTTCAACGTCAGTCATCTGTAACCAATAACAATACAGGTTCGCCATCTGGTGAAAAAAGTTATAATTAGGCCCGAGTGCTCGAGAGATAAGCGGTAATTTATTCAGTGTTGCCGTTGATTTGATTTTGCCACTGAAATTGTGAACCTCAGTTTCACGGGCATATAAAAACATTCAAACCGAAGAACCTCGAGATTCATAGACGTTCTTTCGAGCCTGTGCTACCAAACGGTGTTTTCAGCGGACATTTACGTGATATCGATTAAAGTTTTCTGTTAAAGGAGAAGACAAGACTGTCGTTCGCGCCACTCGCGGCTAAGCTCAAAATTAAATAAATGGGGGCAACATCATCAATATTGTGTACGTCTTTCTGCCGCAGGTTTCGGCTGAGGTTGCTAAGCTCTGCTTTGGCACTTGGTTAGGGTGCGTGTTTAATGAGTAAAGCACCAATTGAATACTAGTCACAGCGAAATGCTGACACAAAATCGTGTCCAATTTGTGCCCCGCCCCTCATCGAGGAAGGTGACGTAAGGAATTCAGTCCCCAGGCCTTGTATGCGGTAAACACCGCGAGCTTTGTGGAAAAAAAGCTGGACAAAGTGCCCCTTATAACTCGATCTCCTCGCCAAAGTAGCAATTCGAAAATTCGTGGGTAAAGAAAAAAAGTGCTTTAATGACCAGGCGTGCCCAGGGTGCATGGCCGAAACAATGGTGGACTCGGACGTATGCCGCAGGAGCTATTACGTGGTGCGAACTTTGTAAACCGTCCATTAGTATACCATCTCTAGTCGGTGACAGGGTAATTAGAGTTCAGGGGAAGCTCCTCCCGCCTGCTTCCACTTCAGCGGAGTTAACGTTGGAGAGGGGGTCGCGTCAGTTTCAGCCTTTAATCAACTCTAGTGAAAGGATGTGGGAGGATCCTCCCCTCAATACTTAACATGTAACCAATTATAGCCTATGTATTTATCTTACTGTACAGGGGATATGCCGTGCACTAAAGAACGACGTGTACGTTGCGATACAAATAAAAATTTAAAAAAAAGCCTTCACGAATTTGAAATTTGGGAATATTCTACGAGGACTAGAGCGGCGAAGAGTTGAGAAAAAAAAAAGGAGGTTCACTTACGTAGATCATAAGCGTGGCTAATCTGTCTCCTGCTCCTCGTTGAAGGTAATAATCAGCCGACTGAAGAAGAAGACATATGGAGAAGGTAAAAGTATAGATTTCGCGGTGTTTCGCGCTCTGCTTGAAAACGACATACCTTTTTTTTTAAATCATGGCGTGTTTGAATACAACATTTGTCTTTAAATAGCGAGTGAAAATGCACCAGTCGTGCCTAGAAACGCATAAGCAATCAGTATTTGACTTAAGGGTCAGGAGCATGGTGCATGCAGTGCGTCTTCGGCTGGTGTGTTTAGCCTCCTATTCTGTTCATACATCAGGTGTGGTCCTGAAGTGGGAACAAAGCACGTCACAGAAGCCGGTCTATCAGGCTGACGAACGTCGCGATCCTGGCGGTTGACACTACAAACTAGAAGCCCAGGCAAAAAGTACGCTCAAACGCGATTGTCGCTGTCGTCGCGGTGGCGCAATTCGTAGTTGCCAAAGTTTCCGTGGTCTGTCAAAAAGAATAAATGTCTCTCCACGTGCACCACATCTGCTGTGGCGCCGCTAGTTATTTTTTGAAGAGCGCTCGTTAAGTTGTTTCTCTGTCGATTTTTTTTTCTAGTTCGACGAGGACGGCCAAGTTTCTAGTTCGTAAAAAAGGTTTATAGCGCCCATCCCAACGATTATTCATTTTCATTATTAGGGGTGTAACACACGGATTTAGTGGTGTTTTATGCTGCTATACGCTGTTTATAGGGGAGTCAGTGTTTATATAAAATCTAGAAAAGGTCTCAATAACCAAGTTATACACCTCGTCTGCCGAGTCGCAAGAAAGGACCACAATTCCAGTTTGTAGCTTGTACTTGCGCTTCAAATCAGAAAAGGCGTGCCGAGCTTGTATTATGATAATGGCAGTGATTAGGTTCAGGTTTTTTCCTGACACATCTTTGAGATTAGAAAACAAATATATGGGAAGGTGATCACTGACTGTTGGCTCATTCAAATCTGCGGTTTCTCACATCATTTGCCAGAGTTGGCTGAAGTATGGTACAGAAGAACAAAAAAAAAAAAAACATACGGAAACGTGCGGCTGACACAGTAAGAGAAACTCCAACTGTCGCGGTGATGACGTTATCATGTTGATATTGAAATCACCACCCAAAGAAAGCTAACATTCCTCCGGCCAATAAAAAAATCTCAACAAATAAAAAAAAAAGTGTCGGTAAATATTTTCGTAAGGATGCATCACAGAGAAGACGGACCTCGCCTTCCGAATAGTCAAGATTTCTAAATCATCTGTGACAGCCGTAAACTAGGTAATGATCGTACATTGAAGGGAAAAGTTTAGCATGAAAGCATGAACCTCCCCGCGCTATTTAGAGCGATTTAACTTTTAAAGACTGTAGCCAGCACAATTGTCTATGTCCTCGTCAGAAGAACACCAAACCTCAGTCCAACATTAGCAAATAAAAACAAAAAAAGTGTAATAATATACAGGACTATTCAAATTTGTATTGTGCTGATCGAATAATAATATGAGAGAGAATGACAAAAATTGCGGAGCGAGAGATGCATTCTTGACGTGTTTTATTTTGCAGTAAATATGTGCTGTGTTTAATCATATAATGGAGGCGTATTATTATTGGCTCAATGAAAAATAAAACACGCAGAAAAACAAGCACGTTGCGATAAACAAATAAGCGATTAAATAAAATAATTATAAGGACAGAAAAAAAATATACAAGTGACCACTGAACGCGTTCGTCAGCCGAGAAACATGGCGAAGAAGGACCGAGAGAAGAGGTTCACCACGCCACCCAGTTTGGAAGGGGAGATGAGGGTGCTTGGCTCATTCTTCGGGGGTGTCTTGTGAGTCTCGGGCTTTGTCTGATGGGCCCTTTCACAGATCTCTCCTAATGACTAGGCTAAAATTAAGTTTCGACATAAAGAAACAGTATACATTGTGGCACTGAGCATGGTGAAGCGTTATGCTCAGTGCCAGAAAGCAATCCGGTTTTTCTTTTTATTTTGGTCTAAACATGTTATTAGTTTCGTGATTCGTCGAGCTCCTTTCTTTCACTGCGGCGATTGAGTATTCCGAATGTTTTGCGGTAAAATAGACGCTCCACTTTAAGTCCGACAGCAGATGATGCTACAACCCGAGAACACCGAACAAACGTGAAAAGAGCACCCGCACGGCGTCCATCGCCTTTGCACCTTTACTATAACCGAGTAAAGCAGTCAGGCAAAGCATATACAACGCCGTATATAGAGAGAGTTTGGACATTGGGAGGAGCAGGCAGAGACTGGGCGTGCACGAGACGCAGATAGAAGGCTCGTCATGTTCTCTTGGCCATCCAGAAGCCGGAAATGATCTCCTTGCGGTGATAGTGAGAAACGTTTTTGTTAGAGCGTAAGAGCTAAATAGAGTAACGCTTTACGGCTGAAAATATAGTACATGTTATGATCGTGCAATAAAGATATAAGAATCGAATGTAACACTCAAACTCTCTTTTGTTCGGGTGAACTCTGACCGCTCGGACGGCATATTCCCTGCCCTCGGCGCCTGTGGCAAACGGATCGCATCGATCGTTCTCCTAGATTGTGACTTTGCACGATCGTGATAGAAAAATCACGTGCGACATAATTTTCAGTCACCGAGAGTTACTCCGACGCGACCACCGCCAGAATATTGTTCGCGACTTCTGCTGGTCACATTCGAATCTGTGAAGGCGCCCTCGAACACGCCCATGCCCTCTTTCGGCCAGTGGCACCTCAACATTGAGCTCCCATACTTCCTAATGAATGGCCAGACAATCTCTATATACGGCTTTGAACGTAGGCGCCGCGATCCTGCGCTTCTTTTTTGTGCGCCAGAGCCGTATATGTAGAGAGTTTGGCCATTCTTTGGGAAGTATAGGAGACAAATGAGGAGGCGCCTTTGTCCGAAAGCGGGCTGGCCGTGTTCCAGGGCGTCTTCAGAAATTCGAATGTGACCAACCAGAAGCCGGAAATAATACCCTGGCGGTGGTCGCGAGAAACAAACCTGATAACTGCATTGGAGTAACTCTCGATGGCTGAAAATATGGTACACGTGATGTTTCAATCACGCTTATCCAAAATGATGGTGGAAGAGTGCGACTAGCGGAACGATCGACATAATCCGTACGCCAAGCGCCGAGGGCCGGAAATCTGCCATCCGAGCGGTCACACTCTGTCCGCGCAAAACAGAGTTGAGCTGCGCATTCGTTTCTTACATTTTTCTGCATGATCATGATCAAAACAACACGTGCACCCTATTTTCAACCACGAAGAGTTACTACACTTCACTCTTACGCACTTATTAAAATCATATACGAACATAGACCTTTGATCTGAACTGTTTCTCGCTACCACCGCTAGGGGATCCTTTTCAGCTTCTGGTTGGTCAAGAGAGCATGCCGAGCCCTCTTTCCGAGTCCGCCGCACGCCCTGGCTCTGCCTGCGGCTCCATTGACCAAACTCTCTATATATACGGCTCTGTTGTGCGCGTGATTGGTCTAGCCGGTCATAGCAAATCAACAAAGACAACAAGCGACAAGACGACGCAGCTTGAGCCTCGTTTAATTGGTTCGACAGAATCTTCGCGTCGATGCGGTCGGACTAAAGATGAAACGGAAGATAGCAAGTTAAGAATCACGCGACAGAATGGAGCTTGAGACTACTCACACTGTTGTAAGCCTCCAATGAGTCTTGAAGGAAGTCGTGGTGCGGCAAGAAATGCCCTCCAGTACCGTAGTTGGCCAGCTGCCCATTGACACAAAGTATGTCCAGTTAGAAAACATCGGACAAAGTTATGACCCTCATATGGGTAGAAAGGTTTGCCGATTGTGGCAGGCATTACGATGTGCATCATCCTCACCGCCTTGGTATAATTTATGCTCGGCGTTTTTTGCGGATATCTAAAACCAAACTCTTGAAACTGCACGCAAAATCGAGATCTCAGTGTAAGTGAATTCTCGATAGCTTAGTTCATTTCTTCGTGGGCATGCTTCTTCGAGGGACATGCGCACAAAGACTCGTACATCGGCGAACATGTCGCTACTTGAAAAACGAGCAACGCTGTCGGGGTAATTTTTTTTGTTTGTTTTACGTGTATTACAGTATCTAGTGACAAAGAGTCAGTGAGAGTCAACGCGACCAAAGGCGGCCTTATGACATTTCTGCACACGGGCGAACATTTATATTAAAAAACTCAAATTGTATAGAAAAGTTTGTTTGACAAAGTACCTTACGACTGTTTCTATTTGATACTTATGTTTATCGTTGCTTTTGTTAGCATATACGCTGCATTGAGTCCTGGTCCTTGAAGGTACACCAGGTCAAAGAGTTAAGAAGTCCACATTGAGCGTGACCCCTTCTGTTTTCAGGTGCTCTATATTAACTGGTGAAAGTTAACCAGAACCACTGTTTTCTACGAAAGGCGTACAAATCGGTAGTCCTTGTGATTATTCACCCGACGACATCATAGCTTTAATAACGGCCCGAAAGTTTGGAGGGGTCACTTTAAGGACGGAATAATTAACATTTTCTCAGGTAAATTATTAACAACCCCCCCCCCCCCCCACAAAAAAAGAAAAAAATCAATAAATAAAAAAAAAAAAAATCCAGCGCAGTGCTTTTTTTATTTTTTTTTTTTTGCTTTTAGATGTTCTTTTTTAGTAGGCCGAAGGACCGGTACTACGCGAAGTACGAGTTTGTAGTCGTGTTTTAAGGATATTTTCAAGCCTCATGACGGAATTCACTCATGAACACAAATGTGCGGACGACAAGGATTAGCACTCTCATATTGGGGAGTGGAGTGAGGGTTCCAGTTGCTTGCACAATAACCTAGCCACCACTTCCTGTTCGAACATCAGCCATAAAGCGACGCAACTGACAGTTACCCGACACCCAACGAAAAAGCTCAACGGTGAAGATTTCAGGCTTCGTTTCGGCGTCAAACAGGGCGTAGTCACAGACTATACGGAACGCAAGTTCGTCTGCTTCTTTTTCAGGGTTTGTGGTGACGTGAGAACGCCAAGTTCGGATCGACTCTCATTGGAAGTGTAGTGGGTAGACCTGAAAGCAAGCTGACTTGAGGTCTACTCACTCTTCTTTAATCAGAGCTCTACGTTCTGACATCACCACAACTCCAGCAAAAGAAACAGACGAACTTGCGCTCCGCATAATCACCGACAACTTAAGAAACGGGTTGGGGGGGGGGGGGGGCGTGCCTTGTGATGTTCATGCCCCTTGTTTCGTGATTGGTTCTTCGGTGTTTTTAGACTAATGCTGCAATTCATTGGATGTGAAGCAACAATGAGATGCATGCGGGACTCGCCATACCCCGCGTTTCTTAAACTACTCTCAAAGACGTGCATACTAAAATTGCGAGGTCAGGCAACATAACCTAGAATAATGAAAGCATCCAGATGGCCTCCTCTTCCTTCATGAAGCACTCTAAAAAAAGTTTGTGCGTCTACTTTCACGTATCACCCTCGAAGAGCCAATCAGCGCAACTTACGGAGGCAGCTCAGCGAATGACGATGCCGAAACATATGTTTAGACAAAAAAACGCAGTCTGAGTTGTGACATTAAGCAATGCAAGCGTGACGTTTTGCATTGCTTAATGTCACAACTCAGACTGCGTTTTTTTGGTCTGAGCATATGATTCAGCATTGTCATTTGCTGAGCTGCCTCCGTAAGTTGCGGTGATTGGCGGTGATTGGCTCTCCGAGTGTTGTGCGAGAAAGCAGACGCAGGGGCTTTTTTTTTTAAAGTGTTCGTGGTGCGGTCAGGGCGCATCCGCGGCACTCGATTCGTTCAAGTGGGGATACGAAACGGCCGAGAGAAAGACGAACATCGTGATGTTGCACTTTCTGTTACTGATTGACCGGATCTATTGGCACGTAAAGACGGCTGCGTTCTCACTCATAGTTAAATTAACTGTACAAATTACGAGCGTCGAAGAGAAAGCACGGCTTGCAGAGTAGAGTGAGCACTGACAACGAAATCTGCAAATGAGGACGATACATTTTTTACTCTAATCATCCTTACTTTTTTTTTAAAATTTCAACCTTTCTGCGTATTTTTATTTTCATTTTATATATTCGTTTACTCTAATCGATTTCTTAATTTGTTGCCACCATTCCCGAACGCATCGCACTTCCTAAGGTACACCCCAAAGCAGCTCTCTCATAACGACAAAAGTTATCTAACCTGGTACGCTTCCGCTTCTTCATCGGTGTCCGAGGTACCCATGCCCAAGAGAGCACGCAGATACGAATTCATTCTGACTGCGATAGGTGCCTCATCTTCGTTCAGCCAGGCACTAGAAGGAAAGATGCGAAAAAAAAAGTTTTGAACACACGCAATGTTTGACGTTGCGATAGTTGCAGCTTCTTATTGCTGTTTTTCCGTTGGTAAAACTCGCAGGCTTATCAACGTGAAAGGGCCAACGAAGTTTCTTGCCCAAGTGCCAACCCGTAAAGCCACAGTCAACCTGCTTGTTCGTCATACAAATGATACAGTGTCCACTGCAGGCATGTCGACAGAATTATCTCTGTATACACGCCTGAAGCATCTTCGAAGCATGCTTAGTTTACACATATGCATGCTTCGAACATCTCTGCAGACAGTTTTGGTATGACCAATATGACGGGACTTTAGTATACGAGGAACCAAGGCGCCTCAGTAAGTGTATAAAGACTGTCTTTTGCATGACGAATTAGCAGCTTAACCCCGAATTCGTAAATTACCATTTATAATGAACGCGTGGCAAATTTAGAACAATATGCTATACGTGACTGCATTGGCGTCACATAATCAGCGGCAATTGTGGTCACTTTGCTGACTGTTTTTCGTACGTACGAACCAGTAAGAATGAGCGCTAGCAGCTAGCGGTGGCGTCACAAGCAAGCCATGTACATAGCTCGGCAGCCAATGGAATTGCGGCATTGTTTGATAAGAAGAATGCCGCACAACGAATCCCGATGCAAGAAGCGGAAACGCAACATGACGGCTTAAGAACCACAGCTTAAGAAAACCCTGTGGTTCTTAAGCCGTGGGTGACTACATGGTTTGGCGATCACGAGTGCGCAACAAAGTATAAACGCTGTACGCTACACAGACCTGTGTGTGTGTGTGTTTGCATTAGCAAACTCTGAATCAGTGCGAAAACTAATCGCTCTCTTTAGATTCGTCCATGGATCATCTATTTGATTCGCTACTGTTTATTTCCGGTCACAACATTTAAGGACGTAAAGCTTGGAGAGGTAAAATCCGGCATCACCTCGTTCATTTGATAAATGTCTCCACGGTAGGATTTTTTGCGTTTTGGTAATGAGTATACACTACGCTTACAAAAGTTTAGGAGCCCCACTTTAGTCAGGTTATTTATGTTTCTTGAAACAATGGTCTTAAAGTTGTATATTAAGAAAAGAAAAACACTGTCATCATACCCCTCTGCTAATTTGTCGTCAATTATAAAAAAAAACTCGACATGTTATATAATATAACTACTTAACTTCTATTGTTACCTAAAACCAATCAATAAAGTGTAAGCTAAGCCCGACCTTAATGAGACGAAGTTCATATCGTTCTTTATTTAGAGAATCGTGTTAGATCGATGTCTTTTGATTTCTGAACACACTTGGCAATGAGGGATACGTCAAATAATGTACATTACTTGTTTAGGTTTTCTTGTTTTACATTACAGAATGCTCAGATAACTGCGCATTACGCGGCAGAGTTCCGACCAACAAGCGACCGTCAATTATCGTTTTATACTATTAAAATTAAAAAGCCGTTATAAAAACAGAATCTAGTGTCATGGAAAGTGTTCAGTCGAGACAACCTCTAGATTTACACCCTGTTAGAATAAAGGGCAAGAAATGCGCCGGTGTGTTGTTTGAAATGTAAGCAAGGGCTATGGCGTACTACTGGACGTCGTAATTCAGATTAGCAATTCGTTGGCTGCTCCTAATAAGGGGATAACTTGGAAGCACATATAGACATTGGCAAATCTGACGGGAGGCGCAAAAGCAGCACTACAAAAACACCTTGTTTCGAATAGAGATTATGTACCCAGATATTTTCAATGAGAGGGATCGAAAGGTATTCCTGAATGGCCGGCACGACATTTATCAAGCAAACACAAAGGTAGCTTTATAATAATTCTTCTTCTTCTTAATATTAATTTCAATAATTAATATTGAATATTCAAGATTTAATATCGAATATATGTATATTCGAATATTCAATCTTCAATTCAATAATGTCATCATACAATCTTGCTTAACTCTCCACATTACTTCAAATAATTTAGTAACTTGTCACAGAACTAAGATTGCCAGTGTCTTCCTCAACAGAGTAAGTAATAAACACCGTAGTATTAATCATTACGTAAAGAAAGCTTGAAACAAGCCAATATTACGTTGAGCTGGTTCGTTCTGGCGACGGCATCATTTCACTCCCAGTGTAGGTTGTGGATCGTTCCAGCTGTCGTGGGAAACAGGGGAAAAAAAAAGAGAACAAAGTAACATATAAACAAACAATGAAACAAGGTTGTTTGTGTTTATCTTGTTAGTTCTTGAATAACCATTTCACTTAAGGCTTAAAATCGACGTACCCTTTCTTTAAACATGTTTTATTTTAATGTAAATATATGAGGCTGTTATTTGCTACAGACCCCAGGGATCTTGGGGTGAATCCCTGCCATTGTTTGTTTTAGTCTAGATGAGCATCGTGCCGGAGAGCGGTCGAGTATCATTACTGCGTTGTGCCTCAGGTTGGCGGTCGTACTGTATTTGCAGAATTCCCCAAATGGATAAAATTAGACAGGTTTGTAGGATTCTCTTTAGATGAAAAATATAATCTACAGAAAAAAGCATTATATCAACAACAGTACTATCATGTTTCCTGGCAAGGTTGTGTTTTTGTTTTATTTCCCTTCATGTACTTGTACCCCTCCTAAGGCCTAGCAGTTGTTTGGGTAAACAAGATGATGATTAACTGCTCAACTTACCGGAGTATGAATTGCTTACTTAATTAATTAATATATCAGTCAGTCAATCAGTTAATTAATATTAAAAGTCAGTCAACCGTTTAATTAATTAATAAATCGGTTCCTTTCAGTACATATTAACTGATACATAAATAGATAAATTGGTTGATCGATTGATTGATTGATTGATAGATTGATCGATTGCGAAGACGCCAGATGCCAACTGGGGCTGGCCAACTTCCCGCTGAATAAACAAACCAACAAAAAAACGAATCAACAAACAAACAAACAAAAGACTTCCCACTTTCATTTTTTCTTCTTTCAATTCCTCACTTCTTAACCGAGTCTCCTTCCCATCTTAAAAAAGACGAACGAAGATTATCGGTTGGCGAGAAATTATTTCTCCAGTCAGGGCAGAGAGCAGTCTCATGCTTCGTGCCTCAGTCTCACCGCCACCATCTCATCATATCAATGCTGGTAGCACTGCAACTCTTCTACCCCCATGTACACTTTCCCTAACCCGGCGAAGGTACGGTGGACTAGAAGGGGACATGTGGCGATCGCGCGGGCGATGAGGGCTTCTAAATTCACTAGACTACATGGTGTACCATAATCTGTATGCGGGAAGCAGCATCACATCGCCCTTGAGGGCTAGAAGAGAAGGTACCAATCAAAACGACAGAGGAAGAATTGAGTATTTCACTATACCAGCAGCCATCGCGATTGTGATATCTGTTTTTTTTTTTTTTGCCTACCATAGTTAGGGTTGCCCAACCTTAGGCTGAAAAAATAACGACAGACAAAAGGAACCAACGTGGCTGCTAATAGCGGCTTTAGAATCTAGCGATGTCACAAGGCGGCACCCGGAGTGCCTCAAGAATATTATCGCACGTGGGAGGTAATGAACTCCTGTTGCCCTGACGCCATCTTCCGGTTTACAACCTTCTGAACTGTGAACATTGATATCGTCTTTGGTTCGAAAGAAATTGGGACTCCGTCTAGAATTGCCGAGTAGATTTTACGGCGCTTGGGAGCAATAGACAAATCGAATCTGTGAATAAATTAAAGCAAAAATAGTTATTCGATGCATAAACAGCATGAGGTTACTCTGGCAGTTTTTAGCGATATGGTACACGCTGTAGATGAGAAATTTTGCGTGTGCAGTACGACTGGTAGCATGGGATCCTTACGGCGCATTAGGGTGTAGTGATACATGGCCGCACCACATTTCGATGCATATATCCACATTTTAAAGGGAGAAAGTGTGGAATGAAGTCAGAATTTACGGGTTCTTCCAACCATTCGCTATATGAATGACTGCGCTGCTAATTGGGACTGCACGAAAAAGAAGCACAAAACATTAATTTCGGTAGTAACTTATATAGAAGCCGTTTGTGACTCGGAAGAAAATTGTTCCTTTTAAGAAGCAGTCTTTCTTACCCGTGGTTCAGCGAAGGCCATCAGATCTTCGATGTCTTTGTCTTGAACAACGTCGTGCATCACAATGACGTAAGGCTTAAGATTGATTTCTTCGAGCTTGATTGGCTGTAGCGCAAAGAAGCCATCTTGTCCCTTGTAGTAGCGACACCTCAGCTGGCTGTCCATCTTGGGGCTCTGTTAATGAAACCGGCGACTTTTTTTTGGAAAGCATGCTACAAGATATTCCGACTTTGAGGCTCTGTTGATTATAATGTTTCGAATGTTAAATATAGCTATACACAGATTAAAAATTTATAACTAGATTTCGCAGTTTTGGGGGGTTTGTTTTTCTTACCACTTACGAAGTTTTGGTGTGTTTTTTTCTATCCGCCGATTTCGTGTTTTTTATGGTTAATTTTTGGCGTGAGATAAGAAAAAAACAATACCATTGTTTTGGTGGCATATATAGATAAAAAAGAGGACACGGCCGTGGTATCCTTAAGGGAACATTTGCGCCTAACTAGACTATTTTATTTATTTATTTGAAATACTGCAAACCTTTTTAATGTCATATCTCCCTGTCCACGTACTGTTCGAGTAGCACAACCATATATTTGCGATTTCGTGCTGTAGCAGTTTACACTGTATTTGACACAACACATAAATGCATAACAACGGAGAGCATAGTCTATTATTACATATTATATCATAGTATATTATTTTGAAAGCATTCTAGTACCGAAGTGAAGGGAACGAGATAGGGGCTGCTGTTCTCGAATATAGATGCAGCCACGTCGAACGTTCAGTGGCAGTTGTTTTCCGGGTCAACTTAAAATAAACTTGTGCGTAAAGCTCACTTTCCACGAAGCCTGGCTTTTTCATATTTAATGGCAGATTCAATTCGCTGGGTTAATCAGATTTTTGCGAAAGCACGGAACCAAATGTAAAACCGATTTTTCGGTAGATTTTAATTCATTATTTATTCAAGTGGTTGTAGATATTGAAGACTGATCAATATTTACAGCAAGCCGGCAACGGTAAGGCGGCGCCAGAAGAGTGAGAGCCCACGGTTATACCCTGTCTGGTTGTAACTTGGCAAAGGGTGCACGACAAGCTTCGATATGGGCTACGTATACGAGCGCAATGCACAGATATTGGAGCATGACGCAGCGAAAAGCCTGATACTTTTTCGCAGTAAAAGCGTACTGCGGTGATACGCAGTCACGTCCCCACTGGCCCACCAGAGCCGTAGCTTCCGCCGTACCGGCATGTTATGCGATCACGGCTTCCTGACCAACCAGCTATTCTTTCTTCAGACGATTGGCCTAAATGGTGCCACAAGAGTAATTGCTCACGTTTGAACCATGGAGCCACCACTCCAAGGCATACCCAATGTTTCTTGCTTCAGACACTAGATAGAGCCAAACTAAACAGCACTGCAGGTGGCCTATAGCAATAGGAAAAACTTATGAAGTACAGCAGGGGAACGCGACAGAACAGCATACGTCAAGACAACATGTGACAAAATAGCACGGTCAAGACAGCACGCGTCAAAAGAGCACTGCGTCAAAAGAGCACAGCGAAAGAACAGCACGCGTCGAAGCAGCTCGCGTCAAAACAGCGCAGCAACAGAAGAACACGAACCAAAAGAATACAGCGTCAAAACAGCACGTATCCGTAAGTGCCTGCAGGTTTTCGGTGTCGTTATATTTTGCTGCCTTTAATATAAAACCTTCCCACCCCACGCCAATTGAGTTGAATCCCTCACTGTCTTCTTTTAAATGATTCTTAATTTGTTGGCGCTGGAAGTGGCGGATTTAATATTTATTCTTTGCGTGTTTGCATCACAGAAGCTGCCACATATTTTCCCATATTTAGTAGACTCATGATGCTGCCCTCCATTGCCTAATACAAAATAATGAAATGACGTATTAACGTACAGTACTTCTGTTTTACGTACAGGACACTGCAACTATTTCATACGACGTGTAACAGTTTTCTTGTAAGCCATTACAGATATTGTGAATATAATAAACCTTGTTCATTCGAATATTTTGTTTCAGTGGGAGTTAATCAGCGCATGTTAAGAAGACATTGATATTGTACTATTTTCATACTTAAATAAAATCCTTGTTCAAGGCTAGCGTGTTTTTTTTTAATGAAAACTACGTTTGAATAAAACATCTCGTGTATGGGAAATATAAATATGAAATTTAGAAACAATAAAACCGTACCCTTTCAACCACCACGCTGTCCCCACTTCCATGGGTTGCTGCTGATCCTCGATACACGGAGACGTCCTCAAGTACGGGATTGTGAATTATTCTGCGACAACCCCTCATGGACATGCTTCCGGGCTGTCGCTTTTCTTTCGCCATGTAAGATAGATATACGTAAAATAAGAGCGCATGTCAAATAAACTATTTTAAAATTTTCCTCTAATTTAGTCCATTGTGATGTTCATTCTTTCTTTAAGTGGAGTTCGGTAAATAGGACGGTGCATTTGTATGGTTAGAATGTACAAACTAACGTCAACGAATTAACATTCAATCGCAAGGAAACGACAAGGCTTTCAACTCCATTGGCATGGAGTGGGAACGTTTTACATTATAGATAAATATAACTACAACCAAAAACCAGCAGGCACTTACGTACGTGCTGTTTTGACGCTGTGCTGTTCTGGCACATGCTCTTCTGTCGCTGTGCTGTTTTCACGCCGTGCTGTTTTGACGCGTGCTGTTCTGTCGCTGTGCTTTTCTAACGCGTGCTGTTTTAACGCGTGCTGTTCTATTGCTGTGCTCTTTTGACGGCGTGCTGTTTTGTCGCGTGCTGTTTTCTCGTTTGCTGTTCTTTCATGGTGCCGCATAGTAGGCCGCAAGAAAGAGTTCACCACAAGTGATTCGTGGCCAGTGCGGTGAAACAGCAACATGCGGCGTTGTATTTCGCAATAACACGGGGAGCGAGAGTTGCCGGGACGTTCCCACCTTTTAACCGCAGGGATGCGGGGTCCTTAGAGAGATGCAGAGCTATCGTTTGCAGCATTTTGTTTTTCTTGGCGGCCTGTTCTTTTGTTTCTCGAGATTAGCGGTGTGAAGTGATGCTTTTCCGTTTTAATCTTGCTACGTTAGAGTAATGAGCTGCGCGCATCGGGAGCTGCTCCTCTGGTGCGCCGGCGTCCTCCGTGCATCCAAGGGTGGACAGATGCGGCAATTGTGACCCCAGCGTGCTTACGCTCCCGAAGCGTCCCATTTCGCCTTATCGCCGGTGGGCCAATCGCTCCCTCATGCCAATCTTTTTTACGGCCGTCTGTACATTGTACTTTGGAGAAGCCAATCGACATCTTCTAAAGTCCAAGCGATCCTAGCGGTGCAAGGCCTTGCAAAGCACCTGGGGAACCCCTTGACCACGAAGGTTTCGGTTCCGATTGTCCAACCTTACCCCTCGAAGTCACGTAAAGTGTTTGTATTTGCAGATCTGCGACTACAGTGCTTGTATTTTCAGATATGCGACTTTCCTTAAATATATTATACTGCAGGTGTTGCCTACTGATACGGATGGAATGCTGGGGCTCGTTTATTCGGGCTCCTGACGTGACAGAGTTTGTGCGCAGGCAAACGCGGGACAAAGATGGCATATGGACGAAGAAGTATACTGGGTCGGTCATCTTGTTCCACCGGAGTCTCAATGGCCTAGGCTTCTTAAAATGTCCGTGAGACGAAAGTGTCTTGCTGCACTCTGAAGTGGTATTTAGGCCGCAAGATTGGCACGGGACGCGGCAGGTGGCAACGCTGCTCCTCTCAAAGACTTGGCAGGTCCGTACGGTCGCTGGAGGTACTTGTTTCAACCGGGGCTCTCACGAAAATGAACAGGTGCAATGCAAGCAAGCGCCGACCTTATTTTTAAGCACTCTCGTTATGCACTAACTACTTCATCAACGGGGTGATCAAAACCGAAATCATGCCCATCCTCTCCTTTACCAACCTGGTTCCATAATGCAACGAGCGCAGTTTTGCATACAGGGATCCTTAGAATTTATCTATGGCTAGATGCCGCATAGTTTAACGGTGCAGAATATGCATGCTTGAAATAGGATCATATACTTTGAGTTACTGTTGTTTTTGGCATATGGTATAATTGCATACGGGCCAATGTATGACAGAAGTAGAGGTGATGTCAGAAATAAGCAGACAACTTTTTCACTGACGTTATATTTCCAGTACTTTTATCGTCTTCGCCACAAAAGCCGTAAAAAACCGTTTGACTTCTTGCAGAGTATTACTAAGGACCCCATTTATGTGGACAATTAAGGTTGTTGCATCTGCATTTCAAATTGACAGGCAAGAAGATGACCGCAGATACAACATGGTTATTTTATATCCTTAGGCACAATATAATTTTTAAGGGTGAGCAAACATATAAAAACTGTAGCGGTTGAGGAACGTCATTCTAGACATAAATTTGCATCGTGTTTTACGGCGAACGTAATTTGCAACAGGTTGCATATGCATTTAACAGGACCGAGCGCTTTTTTTAATTATTATTACTGGTTTAAAATAATTTATTCGAATTGCGTTCTGCGTTGTTTTGGCTACCTTTGTTGACTGGAACATGCTTTAAAGAAAAGCAAACCTAAGAGGAAAATTGATTGAACTCTTCGCAGCGTGGGTTCGTTCGAATTTTGCAATGTGAGAGGATGACAGCAAACGATGTTCTACTTTCCTCTACACAATAGTGAGTCGGGCAGGCCTCCGACTGTTGCGTTTACGGCGTCCTACAAAAACATTATCTCTGAATTTCCCCTGATGACGTCGTGGAATTTCCGTCTGATGACGTGATGTTGTCATCGGCCGTGGTCCAGGCGGAGTCACTGCAGCGGTGTTTAATGTGGCAGACGCCTGTTCTGCTGCAGGTCGCTATCGTGCTTGGCAGTATACGGAAGCTTTGGCAGCCAGGAGTTTGGACGCCACGATAAAACCGACACTCACTAGTCCTTTTTGCCGGGTCTTCCGGCACCAACCGCCAGGATCGCAGCGCCCGACATAATGACACGGCGACTTCTGTGACGTCATTTGTTGCCACTTCGGGGACCACTTTTGATGCATACGGGCAAGATAAGACGCTAAACACAGCAGTCGAAGGCGCGTTCCAGGCAGCCGAGTTCAACGGCGAGCATGAATGAGGCGAAAGGGGGAAGACAGCACCCGGAAAGCGCGGGAATTAGTAATATAAAGATACACGCTTCTTTTATACGTTTGTTACAAATGGTACGTAGTGGAAGAAACAACTTTACCCTGAGAACCTCTCCGCGGCAAAGTCGCTTGTAGTTTTGGTCTTCTTGGTCTTCCGAGAGCACTTCCTGGAACAGCTGTGCCTTGGAGTCTGCGGACTGCTTTGTGCGATCTTGCACGGATACTTCGTGTGTCTGCACGGGTTCTGTTCACGCCGAAAATAGCAGTAAAGAATAAATGAAACTGGTTTAGAGCATATTTAAGCGCAAGTATTGAGAAATGTTTTTTGTAGTTGCGGGCAGAGACTGGGAGAGAGGAGGAGATGAACGCACTCGGGAACGTGAGGACGCCGAGGTCTCGTTGGAATGGTTAATGGGTAGACTTAAAGCTAGCTGCCTTTGTCCCCACTGGACTCGTAGAACGTGTTAGAACCCGGAACGCCGGCATCCGGTATCTGGCAGTGACGTCCGAACGCGTTCACCGAGGGCAGACAGATGACCCAAAAAGATGCTATTGTGTTTTTGAAATAGCAGATAACCTGCAATCTCTTTGGAAGCTGTAATGAATACTTGCTGAAACTAACTTTGATTTACTCTGAAAAACGTAAGCGTGCCATGGTTGAAGAAAGTTGACTTAGTTGGCCCGTTGCCAAACACCTGCGCCGCGAGCCTCACTGACCACGCTACCCGACTGTGAATAACAAAAAAAGAAAAGAAAGAAAAAGAAACATTAACAAGAAATAAAAAGTAAAACTGAAGAGGCACTGAAGAGTACTTTGAGATGCTTCGAGAAGACCTCGGCAGCTGCGGAAGCTAGAAAATGACAAGAAGAAAGAAGAAAAAAAAAAGTACAAAAGGAGGGCGTAGCTTTGCTAGACACAGAGACGCGTGCCTGGAAGGCTGCCGTTTGCTGCGTTCTTCATAAAACGCAACTCTGCATATGACGTTCTGATCTGGATCTCGATACACCTGTAAACGTTTTCGTTACCCATTCTGATGTTAGCCTGAGACTGAGGCAAGAAAAGAGGAAGTTTCAAAGTAGAAGAAAAAGGAACAGTCGAGGATACGTCTCTACAGATAGAGACGTATCCTCGATTGTTCCTTTTTCTTCTACTTTGAAACTTCCTCTTTTCCTGCCTCAGTCTCAGGCTAACATCAGAATGGTTAATTCCCACCAGCTCGCCTGCGCACTCACTACAATGTCGTTTTCGTTACCTTCATCGCGAACAAAATCATGAACGCAAGAAAAAATGATTGCACGTTTTGTGTTGTCAAGTTCGCAATAGCGACACCATTCGATATATAAATGAAGGCAACGCCTTTGCGTGTATATGCTTGTTCTGTCCAATTGTACTTAATTGACTTCGCACAATAGATTATTCGGCATTTCGAATAAAATAAGCTAGCTATACTATACCTTTTTAAATGGTATTTTTTAAAGCCCACTGTTATTAAAATAGGTTAAGGCCCGTTCACGTACTTACGACTTCTTAGGCCCGTGTGGTTAGAAACCGTTTAGAATCTCTTACAACGAGAAAGCACACTGGCGTCACATATCCGGTTCCCATGGAACACCTGGCATTCTGTATATTTCCTTTTTTTCCCAAAACCTTATTTGGTTTTTTTTCGCTTAAAAATATTTTGTGGATGTTATAAACGACCGTTTTTCAAAGGTGGTAGGTACATTTGACCCCACAAACAACGCGAAACCTTCGCTCGAGTGAAATGCAGTTCCAGGGTAACCGCATAGAGGGCGAGAGCGTGCCAGTATGCTCTCGTCGTGAGAGATTTTAAGGGCCGACGACCATTTCGCTCTTCCACTTTTCCCTAGCTTTCTCCTCTCCCTCCTTCTACCCTTTCCCCCGATGACTGTTTCCTCCTCCCTTTCCTCCCCTCGTCCCCTACCCCAGAGCCCAACACCTGCGCCATTGAGCCCACGGCGGCTAAGCTATAGACCCCAACTAGAAAAAAAAGGATTACGATGCAAAAGAGCAACCCCAACATGATTGACAAGCGGCGTTTAGTCTGTAAGGTACAATGCCGTTGGCGTCAGGGCAGGTTTTTAGTCAGCGTGCCGAGCACTGCTATTTCTTTATATGTTTCCCTTAGAGTTTTTATTTTATTTTTCGTTACTAAATACGATTGGGAGCCGTGCGTTGTTTTTTAGCTCTTCATTTGGTTCTATCGAGGAGATATCCACAATTTTGGAAAATATCGTCTGCGCATGTGCAGCCCCACGCATACGGTGGTTCGAAAGTTGTGAGTATGAAAAGATGTGAATGTCATAAATAAGCCTTAGCCTTTTGAGAAGGGGAGTTAGATCCTGCTTCCTGGATGCAGTGGCCTGAGTTCCCTCACCGTATCCTGTGTCCAGATTGTGGCTTGTCTGCAGCTTATCTTTCGCCACGAGGTAAGTAAAAAGAAGCTGCTTCAATCTTCCTTTCTTGTGGCCCTCAAAATTTTACACCAATGCATTCCGATCCAGGCTTCCTACAGGGGGCAATAGTTGATTAAAAAAAACAAAAAAACTTCGATTCACATTGAATAAAGATTGCACTGATCATTCGCTGGGTGCTTCTCTCAGCGAATACGTAAAGCCCAGAGCGAGAAACAAACTTTGTTTTCGTTTCCTGGCCGTGGAAGCTTCCTTCGCTTATCCTCCGGCGCATAGATTCTGGCATGCCCATTATCCATTATGAGGGCACCTTTTCTTCTGGCTTATCTCCATTCATGTGCTCACACAATAACGAACCCCCCACCAACCCCAATCCGCACGGCGCGCGCGGACTCATGCCCGATTTTTTTAGTGCCATCTTTCCATTCTTCGGTTCCCTCGCTCGGAGACGAGGGAGGAGCAAAGCGCTGCATATCATCGGATTTGGTCGTTGGTCTTTAAGGGATTTTAAGGCACTCGGTTCTAAGGAGTTGCAAGTGTGTGAAAGGGCCTGTAATGTAAGCGGAACAATCTAATGTTTCTCTAGAGGGGTGTAATTCGTAGAGGGGGTAATAGTAATACTAAATGTTGGAAACGAGTGAATAGAAAATGGCTATCACTTTGGAATTTTTCAAAGACATTCTAAATGCATAGGATATACTGGGCCCTCTCGCGCTTCTTCTTTTTGCGGCCAAAGTACAGACGTCACTCAAGAGCATATTGCGAAGGTTTTGTAATTATATGAAGCCACCGCAGTGCCACGTGACATCATGTGTGACAACATAATGTCGATAACCTTCAAGTGTCATGTGACGTCATAATATCTCGTGACGGCTTAATGTCGATGGCTCCAAGGTGCCACGTGATATCACGATGTAACTTAAAATTATGGACTTATGAGTCTTTAACCCAGGTGACTCATGAAGTCTGTTGACATCACAGTGCCACGGAACTTCATATTGTCAGGTGACATTATGTTGCCAGGTGACTGGGACGTCATACAAGCTACTTGACACGGACCAACACCTTGAATGTAAAGCCAGCTCTATTCCTGTAGGTAGCCTCAAACTAATTTTGAGCATTTTGACAAAATGCACCACAAGACGGAAAGAGTAGGTAAGACAAAACAAAGGTCGCTGTCGTGCTTGGCAGCGAGCGCTTCGTGTTGTCTTACCTACTCTGTTCCTCTTGCGGCGCATTTTGTCAAAATAAGTCATGTACTAACTGGCCCATCGGTCAGTATTAATTTTGAACAACAACAAACAGCAATCTTACCCACTTGTCCCCTTGTACTCAGCAATTCATCGTACTGTGAGAGAGGAAATAAAACGACAGTACAGTAAGGTGAACTCAAAGCGAATTAAGCGCATCGACTTAAACTCGTTTTCATACTTTTCAAACGGGTCAGGTCGACGCCCCTAGACGTGAAGCTAGAGATCCTGGCGATATCCTCGGAGTAGGAAACAAAGGCAGGTTTGCAGATTTGCGTTTGACTGTGTTTGAGGTTTTTCGGTTACCTTTGTAGTCGCGTAACACACCGACGGCTGGTTCACACACTTGTGACTGCGGACGATTGAGGGTCGGTTAAAGCCTCTTGTGATCACTTACGACCGGTCGTAACCAGTCACAAGATGCATTAAGGTCCGTTTACACTATTGCAACCGAATACGACCGAGAGAGGCGAGACCTGTTAGAACCTCTTAAGCGCCGTTCACACATATGCAACCGAGTAAGACCGAGAGAGACCAGACCGGTTTTAAGCTTCTTGCGACGTCTTAGGACCGGATGCGCCGCTGCGGAGCTGGTTCTAAGACGTCGTAAGAGGCTTAAAAACCGGTCTTGTCTCTCTCGATCGTACTCGGTTGCAAAAGTGTGAACGGGCCTTTAAAATGTCTTGGTACAAGAGAACACACTGGCACGCTGGCGCCATCTGTGCGTTGATCCTAGAACTGCATTTCACAAGGGCGAAGGTTTTGCGGGATTTCCAAGGTCAAACGTGAGTAATACCTATAAGAAAGGCTTGTTTATAACGTCGACAAAAGCTTTTCGAGCCAAGAAAGAAAGGGTAATGCGCGAGGGAAATTGAACATATGCCGGACCGCCAAGTTTACACTGCTACCCCATAGATGGCGCCAGTCTGTCCTCTCGTCGTAAGAGATATTGAGAGGTTCCAAGGTACTGGGTTCTAAGGAGTCGCAAGTGTGTGAATGGGCCTTTAGCAGACGATCGCAAGCAGTCAGAAAAGGTTTTAAAACCGGTTGTGGCGCAGTCGGTCCCAGATAAACGCAGGTGTGTGAAGCAGCCAAAAGAATCTGCCTTACAGAAAGTTTCAAAACGCTCGATCGGAATCACGTGGTTTATGGGCCGCATTTGCAATACGAGCTGCGAGGAAGGAACGAAAGCGTTGATCATCTGCAAACTTCTCCGCGTTTCCGGTCTTTTTTTCTCCTCGCCAGGCGAAAACGCAGCGCATGTGCATTTACGACCGACAGCCACAGGAGGCGTCGGTCAATAAATTGCAAACGATCCCCATGGTTTGAGATGAACCCTCTCATAATCTAGGCTCTTTAAACCAGCCTTAAGACTCTTACGCCATCTGTCGGACTGACGGGAACGCTTACAACCCGTGCGTAACTGGACTGAACGTTTCGTAGTATTTGAGAGCTCAAATTTACAGACTACGTATTAAAAGCAATCGCCTATAACATTTTCAGAAATATTTCAAGCCCACCGTAAAAGGACGACGCGCAAAAAAAAAAAAAACACCAACTAACGAAGATATGTATCTAGGTTGGAAGTGAACCTCAGGGGCGACCCGTGTTAAACATTTACAATGTCCAATCAGAAAGCATGGAAAGCGCACAGTCATACAGTTTGTCATGTTTGTGTACGCGTGTTCTATCATCGCTGAACAATTCATAAATAGAAACGGCTCAGTGGCTTCCACTCTTGACGTTGCTTGAGTGGTCCCATTAGCTAAAGCAGACAGCAAGTCGTCTGCTTCTTGCTTAGCAGTTGCGGTGACGTCAAAAAGACGCCAAGTTCTAATTGGCTCTCGTTGAAAGGATAGTGGGTATACCTCAATGGTAGATGCCTTGAGGTCTACCCAGTAGTTTATTTAAATTAGCCAAAAACAGCTACGCGTGCTGACACCACCGCGACCCCTGTACAAGAAGCAGGCTACATGATCTACGCGTAGCGTCCGCTGTGTCTGATGTTAAGATGAAACGAAGTATAGTGTATCCACGCAGTGTCGCAAAACCTTGCATCAGCGTCGTCGACATTGCCTTTCGCAGGGTCTCACAACAAACGCGACGTGAGCATGCTGCAACGCGAAGAGGGACGCGTCTGCCGTTTTGCGTCGGTCTTCCGTCAAACTTCGGCGTGTTTTCCGCCTGGGGGCGGGGTGGGAATCCACTAACGGAGACGTCATGCACAGCCCTGGTATTTTAGGTTGTATCGCTATGTCTTGGATTCTCTTAACACAAAGAGCATGGATCTGAGAACCTTTGTGACGACGGCCTCGTAATGGCTGTCCAGTTCTTGCTTTGGGATTGAGGGCGGTTTTTCGTCGGCGGCCTTGGCTAGCGCCTGCTCGGCCCATTTCACTGCGAGGTCGTGCATACCCTGGTGCAGAGCCACCTGGCTGATGTTCAAGCAGTCCCGAGCTGTCGGTGTAGAAAGAGGAAAGCCGATAAATGAGTCTCCAACGCGATGACGTTGCATTGGAGTTCAGTGGCGCGTTAAGAGAGAGAGAGAGAAAGAGAAGGTGGCTTGCAAAAGAGGAAATACTAGCGCCTATGTCATAGCCAAGGTCCAGGCGCTAATACAATTGACGAATTACAGGCACTGGCACGATCTCAACACTATTAATGGTTTCAAAAATTTTAAAGCTTTCCGCCATTGCAATTTTCGTCACCAAAAGTGGCGCTGATGCAAGTAAGGGCCTACACAAAAACTTAAATAAAACTATTAGAAAAAAAAAAACATATTGTAAAGTGTTTGCATTTTTAAAACCAGTAGTTGCACTTTTTATGTTATGTATCAAATATTTCGAAATATTATGGCTCCTAGGTCTCAAGTATATGTGGCGTTTCCGATCGTCCTTCTTTTCGATGGGGCCCTGGGGTTTTATGAGGAAGGCTGCGAAAAGGTGGACGAATCCAGCGACTTTCTTCAGGATATCTTCTACGAATTCACGTCCACCCGTTATGCTCTCCGAGCGGCCTGATTGGTTAACTCTTAACGTTGGCTGTGCGGCTTTGATGATTCGACTTGTACCTAAGAAAAACTTTCCCTTATCATGACGAAAAAACTCCAGACACGGTAATATAAAAATACGGGTGAGTAGCCCTGCATAATAAATGTTTTACACACTTTAAATGTTTCCAAAATAACTTAGAAGTTAAAATTCTTTAGGGTAAGAGCTCGGTTTCTAATTGGGTTGTTTTGGAACTGGTCTCTGCGCAACGCATGAGATTTGGCCGATGGAGTACGCCTGCTAACCTACGGCAGTGAACGCGCGTCATAGAATCGGAACCGGCTTGATGCGCACAAAGATACAATAGGCCACGAACAGAATGCAATTCAGTAAATCTACATGGGCTCTGCAGCAGGGGTTTTTAACTTAAATATGGTAAATACGCCTACTAAATGCAAACTAGGAACTTGAGTAAAATCTAAAGTAAATAAGAATTAAACTATAATGTGTCGTAGATACTTATATCATGTTTTCCGAACGCTAGTAAAGAACGTACGCCTTCTGCTGTATTCAGATCGAAGTTTATATTGGCTGAGCGTTGTCCAAGGATGCTTTATGGTGTATTTGGAAAGCAGAGTGAATATCGTATTCTTAGAAGGAAATTAATATTTGGAAAACAGTTTGCTCTAACAGGTCCAGGCGCACGTTTCCGAAGCGCACATACAAAGCTGTGCCGAGCTTCAGAAAAAGACTTCGTAAGGGAACATGCGCTAGTTGTAGGTGATGAACTCCCTTGCATACCATTGAGCGGAAGACGTCCAGGAATTGTGCGGTTGCGCGGAATTTTAGTGTGAAGGTGTCCCTCGGCCAGTTCGTGAAAGTCCAGAGCATATATTTCTTGAAGTGTCACAAGTGATGTCGCAAGCCCCTGGAAGTCGTCGTCCCATGGAAGCAGCCGTTGCTTGCGCATTGCTTTGATGTTAATCAAAGGATCTGGAAGTGTTTGTGGAGACATGGGTATTTCAGTGCTTCCAAACCTACAATTTTTATTTTATAATCGTGTGACTAGCCCGTACAGTTCCTTACGAGATAATTATTTGCATTTATGACGGGAATAAATGATATTACAAGATCATGGGCACGTGGCGCGGAACTGATCCTTATACACTTTACTAGATGTCAGGGATGTTACACTTTACAGACAAGAATGCTATATTTAGTTTTTCTGGCACTTTACATAAGGTGCGAAGTCAAAAATATGATTTTTAGGCCCAGTAAACGTAGAAGAAGCGAATAGTGTCAGTATTGAATTACGAAATGTATTCATCCAATCGAAGTAGTTGCCTCTTGTATGAGCCTCGAATATAACACGCGAAACTGCTTCTGAGATTGAAAGTTCCCTGTCTGGGTGCGTGCAAGTTAGAACTTGATTTTTTGTACACCGATAGGAAAGGTAACTGGAATAACCCAAATACCGTATTTGTTTATCAACAAGAGATATGTTACGTTTGGTCGACCTCTGCCTTTCCACCAGTCGCAGTACAATGAGGAGAAAGACTAGTTCTCATAAAACCTGCACACCTGTGCGTAGCAAATTTATAAATAAACGGCTTTATGAACTCAATATAGTGGCTATGGTTATGAAGTCCAGAGCATATGTGTCCTAAATGTCACACGTGACGTCGCAAGCTCCTTGAAGTCCTCGCTTCATGGAATCGGCCGGTTTTTGCTCATTGCTTTGATGTTAACCAAGGGACCTGGATGTGTTCATGCAGACATGGGTATTACGGTGCTCTCCGACGTACAACGCTTATTTTATAAGTGTGTGGCTATCGCATAGAGTTACTAAGCAGATAAAAGCCATTGGCATTTATGAAGATAATAAATTACATTACAAAGCAAGGAGTAGTTGCGCAGAACTTATCAGGATACTTATGTATCATGATAACACACGAATGAGATATCTTCGTTTTCTGATAATTCTGGCACGGAACAAAAGGCAAAAATGAGGCTTTTACGTCGAAAGGATGCGGAAATAGCGGGTGGCTTCAAAATTGAAGTAACACAAGTATTCATCCAATCGAAGTCTTGTTGCTTCGTGTAGGAGTCTTTGATATAGCACGCCAAGCTGCTCCTGAGATTGATAGTTATCTGTCCTCTTGGCGCACGCGGGTTAGAACTTGATTGTATTTTGCATATGCCGATAGGAAAGGTAACAGGCATAGCACCAAAACAATATTTGTTTAGGTGATAGACATATGTTACGTATAGTCTGTTTCTGTCTACGCGAATCACAGCACAGTGAGAAAGAATACTTTTGCTTTTGACTGTAAATGTTCCCGTAGAAGATTGATAAATAAAAGGCTTTGTGAACTGAAGATAGTGGCTATGATTATGAACCTTTAAATGGTGATTTTTACGAAGATTCTAAATTTCAAATGGAGTTGTTTGAATTTAGACTCCTGCTGATATTCAATTTGTTGTGATTGCGTTATGATACACTTATAACTATACAAGCCCTTTAGGGTATGTATTCACTCTTAGCCGTAACTGTATGTGCTGATGTTGAGCACTTGCTAAGTGGTGAACTTCTATAGTCACTGACAAAGGGAGAACAGTAAAGAGGAGCTTTGGTTGTTCCACTTCCAGCGCGAGCTTCCTACCTTCGACAACCCTTCGGCGTCTATTGTCCCTCGAGCGCGCGCATCCAAAGCACGACGGGAGGAACAAGGCGCGTGCTGCAGAAAGCTTGGCGTTCAAAAGACGCTCACTGCCGTTCTCAATTTGTCGGCGACTATGGCATGGAAAATTCTCATCATAATGGTTTTGTTTATAACTTGCCATTACTATTTTGCCAAAGGGAGCCGTATTCTACACTAATTAAAAATAAAGTTTGTGTGGATCCTCTTTGTGTGCAGTTCAATGCGGTCTGCACAGTCACGAGGTGCAGTGTTTGCGTTTGGTTTGAGTGCTTAGAACTTCATTTTGTGCCCGTTTGAGAGACTCAAGGCTCTCAAGGAGTAAAGGCAAGGCACACAGGCAAGGCACACAGGCAAGGCACACAGGCGGCAAGACAAGATGCAAGAAGGCATTAACCAAAGATCTCGGCTATAACTGACCTCCAGTCTTATTCATATTTTATCCAGTAGTCGGTGACAGGTTAAGAACCTGCTAAATGCTTCACCTCCAATACGCGCCCCTGGTCTTCGGCCTGGATCTGGCTACGCGTGCAATGAAGTACAATCGAAGTCCGAAAGCTCGCGCTCGAGGCGGAGTATGTACTGGGTTCTTAACTTGTCATAAATTAAGGTACAGCCTTTCCTAAGAAGTGGTGAGACCTACCAAACTTTAGCGTTTTTTCGACCTGAGCTTCGACGGTCTTCAGGCCAGCGGTCATTCTCTTGATCAACTGGAAGGCGTGCACCGGGTGCTTCAGGTAGTCGGAGAGGGCGGACGGTGACGTCAAGTTGTCGTAGGGCTGTCTGTCTTGGGCAAAACTGACAAAAATAAAAATCACAACAGCAACGTAAATATTTTAAATGTTAAACGCCAAATATGCAAAAGAAAATGTAGAAAAGAAAAAAAAAACTCTAAAGAGGCGTTTCTATGCTTTTATGAATAACGTCCTAGTACCGAACGTTCAAGGTGAAAAAAGCGTGTGAAAACGGGAAGAGGAACATAGCAAGAGTGACTAGAAACGTCAACTATTAGATAGTAAAAAGTAAGAAAAAAACTAGAACCAATGACATAAACTTACTTAAAGGGTTAAATTAAATACACCCCAGAAAGGCGAATAACGCTCAGTGTCTCCACTTGGCTAGCAGCTAGAAACAAGATATAGTATCACGACTTTACGTTTATGGGTACGAGTAAAATAAAACTAGGGAGGTACAAAAAGGTACGTAAACTGTTTGGCCTATTCCAAAAACGCCTCAAATGCATAGTGTTTGTAGATCCCTTGTCAGGTGTAGCTCCTGAAGAAGCATAGTACCGAGCACAAGGGAAGCACTCTGAGCATACATGAAGCATTTAGATATTCACCTCAAACTCTTTTTTCTCCTCTTCACTGAAGCTACTGAAGCTACGTAGGACGAACGGACGACCATTAGGAGAACGCTAGGTGCTGTCCCTGTCAATCCTATGGACTAAAAAAACGCAGATCTTACTGATTTAACATGTCCCTGCCCTCTTTGATCCCAATAAAAAAAAAAAAAAGAAAAACGTTATGAATCTAATAAGCATTATATGTTATGCGTCAAAGTTAAATCTGCGCTCCAATCTCCGCATACGCTTCACCCAGTCCTCCCCTTACCGCAACGATACGATCTGATTGCATCACAAAGGTGGTAGAACCTACTTGAGTATGCTGTCTTGAACAACTCTGAGCCGTTCCACGTAGCGGAGGAGGTCGGCCTTTACTTGTTTTTCCATGTGGATGAGATCGGAGAGCGTGGACACTGTCGTGTAGAAGTCTTTGTTCTTTTGACCTATTGAATGTGTCACCAGACAGCACAGCAGCACGGCTAAGCTCCAGAAGTGCCTGCCGGTTGATAGAAATAATCAGTTATGGAATTTAGTCGGTGTGCCGTCAGGAAACCACTGGGCACCGCGATGGCATACACTCATCCTCCGGTCAAGGGTAGGCAGAAGTATAGTAACCGAGAACCTACGAACCGCAGGGTGTTGTGCGGGTCTCGGTCATCTTATTATCGCTCACTGTCAAATGGGATTGTGGCATCAACCGATAAGGACATTGAAAAAGAAATTGCGCAGCAAACAGCATTAATATTATAAGTCACGCCCTGGCTGCCTTAGTGAGCGACCATAGCAGAACAGCCAACGACTATGGCTATCACTTGCCTGGCACTTGACATTGGTGCCTTACCGAGACACTCTCGAAAATTAGTCACACGCCTGATCGTTTCAGCTAGCTTCTTCTATTTCGTATCGGAGTTTGTGAGTGACGCGTCAGATGTTGGATAGTTGAAACAATAGACTACAACACTGCGACCTTCCTCAAACGTCAGGAGCTCACTTAGGCCGTCACGATTCTCAAACAATGAACATTTGGTAGCAGGTTCATGTACATGTTTTGTGTGCCCTCAGATGGATTTTAGACTGAACTCCTTCGAATAATCGGCGAACCAACGCACGCTGAGGGTTACTCCCAGAGTAGAGATTGTCTCAATGAATCGGCGCATCTTTGAAGGAGAGTATTTTGAAGGCCTTGAAGGTGCATTTAAAACAATGGTACTAAATTCCATCGAGTATCTTGTATAAGGCATCTGTGGCAAAAAACAAAAAGTAGAAAAATGTATCGGAGCTTTGAAATCCAAAATAGTATTTTGTACTAGTGACTAATATCCTACTCTTTTATAACTATATGCTTCTCGTTTCAAAACTGTATAGATTTATCGGCCTCTTTCTAGGCACAAAAAACCAAATTTTTTGTTAGACAGCAGAAGTTTAGTCTGCCAGAATAGGGCGAAATGTTTACCCACTGTAGATGAGCAATTTAGCCAGTGCAGTACGACTGCTAGCCTGGGGTATTGAACGTTTACCACGCAGGAGTAATATACGACCGCGCGACGCTACAATGTAAATACAGATCGAAACAGGGAGAGGTGGGGATTGAACCCATGATCCCTGGGTTCTGCAGCGCAAGCTTTCGCTGCACGTGCTTCGAGCTGGTGTGTGCTAGCCCACCTGGCCACGAATCACTCTAGGCACGCAATTTTCCTTCCGTTGCCGCAATAACATATTGCCGAGGGCAGAAGAAAGAAACACACAACTAAACAAGCATTCAGGACGCAACTAAAGCATCATAATGTACAAAAGGCTCCAGCGGCCTCGGGTTCAGAAACCTTTCTCCTCTACACGTACTTCTTTCAGCCGTTTGCAAGTCTCCGACTGCGCACCTGCGTCCTACGGCGAATTCCAAACAACAGCTTTTTATTTCTGTATTATATGCGCCATGAGTGCACCTTTATGAGAGCGCAAGTTCTAAAGTCGCATGACCTCAACACCAATACCATTCCATGCGAAATTTAGCCCGAAATAGAATTCACGTGACGCCGATTTTCCCGCTAAATCTAGCAGAGAAACTGAATTTGTTCGCTAAATCTAACGGAGAAACTGAATTTCCCCGCTAAATTTAGCGAGAAATTGAATTGGTGTTTAGGTCATGTGATGTCGATTTTCCCGCTACATTTTGCGCGATTACGCCGACGCGAACGCCGATAAACATGGAAATGGGAGCCTAAGAGAGGTACTCTAAATATCATAATGTGAGCTCCAGTTTACTTCACTAGTGCGTACAAAAAACATATCTTAAGCTTTATGTCGAATTAAGTATCACCCGTCGAATAAGTATCCAACGCGCTAATTCGACTGAGATGATTCTGGTTGGGTGGAATTATAAAAAAATATATATATATATTGCACGACGTCCAGTCAAGTCTAATAAGGAACCCTGCGTTTCGATGCCTCTTCGGCTCTTCTTCAGGGTTACGCAGGATGGCCGGTGAAGAATTGTGTTTTCGTTTTCGTCTCATTTTAGGGTGGGGCATTCCCTTTTGAGTCGGTATACATGTCTCGAAGCCCGTGGTCGTACGCGAATGAAAAAGCGCCGAGAGATGCATTGGTGTTTCCTAGCACAGTTTGTATGTGCCACGACTCTAGGAAAAAACGCAGTCGGCGGTTGGTTTCAACGTCAAAACTTTTGGCGTTCTTAATGTCGATGCGGTGTTTTTTGAGGGCGCAGTGTTCAGCAACCGCGCTGCGCTCGTGATCTAGCATTCGAACAACATTTTTGTTTTGTCTGATATTCTTCAAGTTCTTGGTTTCGCCAATGTACGTGGCTGGGCAATTCGCGCATAGAATACTATAAACGATACCTTGCGTTCACTCTTCGAGGGGGGGGCGGGGCGATGTTTTGGTTGTGGAATAAGCCGTCCAAGTGTTGATATTGGTTTCTGGGCCATCTGGATCTCCTCTCTAGCCAGCGCACGCCCCAGCGATTCCACTAGTGTCTGGTATATAAGGAACACTGATGCGCAATTTTGGCTAGGATGGCGTACTTCCCTGTGGCTGCAGGTGCTGACGACTTTGATCATACGACGGGCATTACAGTAGATAAAACTGCTCGTGTTGCTGTTTTCTTTTTTTTTTTGAGGTCAGCCAAGACGGTTTTATTTTGTTTTATTTTATCAACCTCAGTCCAGCAAACAGTCCTTGACCTGGGCCAAAGTGTACCACCAACGCCTTCTGACTGGTAGGATGGTTTGTGTCAAACTGATGGTAGCTCTGGGTGTCGGTTTTCTGTATACAAAAAATGTCAGCTCTTTCTTTTTTATTTTTATCAGCACATTGGAGAAAAGCAAGGTGTTCTCCTTAGCGCGTTACAGCGAAAACTGAATTGTCGGCTCGATGGAGTTAAGGTGCGTCAGGAACTTTCCCACTTTGTTTATCTTAGAATACTAAAGCAGTCGTACACACAGCGCAAGAACTCCTTGGGACCTGCAGCGAACGACTACAGGGCCGTTTGTTCAATGGATTCCATGCATACGTTTTATGTGGCGACTGAAATGGACGCCCCATCGCGGCTCCACTCGTCTGTTCAAAGAAACCACCATTGAAACTGAAGTAGCTGGTACTGAGGCAAAGCTCAGTAGCAAAGCTCCTCCACGCGACTGGGCCTGTCCTTTAAATCGTTGTCTTTCTCGTAGGAGTTCCTTGTGGTGGCAACTGCTAGATGAACCGGAAAAGTTCTAAAACGCACAATTACGTTCGAAATAAAGAATGCTCTCCTCGACGCTCAACTTTAACCGCGGAACGTGATCCGCGAAGTCGCCAGAGTTGCCCAGAAAGGTTCTTGTTTTTTCAACCAAGAGGATGAAAATTGCGATGGCGATAGTTCGACTGCGCCCGGAAGCAGTGAGGTCATCAAGTCCTCACCGCATCGCATGAATGCAGCTTCATACGCACAAAATGATTGCTATTTCCATGATTAACTAAAAAACACATCTGATTAAAATAACGGGACATGCCATGCCGAATGAGCCTTCACCGGACTCTATCATAGTGAATATGCTAAGTTCGATAGTATTTCGTAATTACATAAACATTACTTATAATCTTAATCCAACGAGAAAAAAAACACGTTATGTCAAATAATCTATTAAATAGGGCTCCACACGGAAATTAAAGATGCAGCCCAGAAGCCCTCATACATAACTTGATCAAAAATGTTATAAAAATGATTGAAACTAAATACGGTTGGGATCGTTTACTTACGTCATGACCACTTCTTCAAAATATCGCTCTCTTTCCCGGAACGCGTAAACCGTCTCTTCAAACGGAACGCATCCGTCAGCTGCTCCGGCTTGCCTGAGTATAAACGAGCATAACCAAAGTATTGTTTGGCGATTGCTCCGTCGACGCCGAAGTTAGGATAAAAAAGAGCGATTTCCGCTACGTGTTTTTTGGGTACATGGTCTTTTTTTATTTCTGTCACGTTCTTTTTATACGTTGTTTTGTAGTGTGCCTCGGCTTGAGACCGTTTCCACCTGCTTGGTTGGAGTCACGTGACTTCTTGGCCGCGTTTGCAACACGAAATAGAAGGAGGACTTGAGAGCGTTGGTTGCCCGTAATTGTCGTCAGCTTTTGCTCAGTATCTCTGCCCGCTATTCATGGTGTATGTGTAACAGCAGGTAACAACGAGCGGTAAGAAAAGGAACACACAACGCAGGAGGAGCTTTAACTTCCACCAACTAGCCCAGCTTTCTACTTTGTTACTGCCCACAATTCTACTTGCCTCTACAGTCTAAAGGCGAGAAGGATCGTGCTTTGTCTAAAGTTTCGACGAAGCGCGCCTGCGGACTTGCAACCAACCTCTGTGCAGAAGCCGTCCGCCTTTAAATTGAAAGCGCTGTTTGTGGTTCGAGTTGCCATTCTTTCATGTTTGGGCTCTCTACTTTATTATTCCCCGCAGAATTGTCGGGTCGACTGAATCACCAGTGGAATGATACCCGTTTGGCTCGCAGTATACAGATGTTAAAGAAAAAAAAAAAAAACACGCCAGGCCTTTTTTTAAGGGACATAAAACAATGGTGTGGAATAAGTTTTCTTTTACAACGCAGGCACGTGTGCGGTCGACGAACGCGACATCTCATAAAAGTTAAAAAAGGCAAAGCTTTTTATGTGTTTTGTGTTTAAGTATTTTTTAAAAATAAATAAAAAAAATAAAATATACCTTGCCAATGGGAGTTACACTGAGGCATACAGCAAGCCTATAAGCCACAGCTGCTGTATTCGAAGCTGCAATGTTCCCTTTTGGCTAGTTCGCTCGCTCGTTGCCGCTGATCTCTAGAGTAGACATTTGCTTCGTTCTTCTGAACTGTGCGAGTACTGTATACGTATTGTTTGTTTTATGATATACATGTATA